TTTCAACCATTTCTCTAACAAAATGATAGTCAAGTTCCACATGTTTAATTCTCCCATACATGATTGAGTTTGATGCCAAGAAAACTGCACTTTGATTATCCACCCACACAACATGAGTCTTTGCTAGTTTAACTCATATTTCAACAAGTAAGGAGTTGATCCAAGTTACCTCAGAGGATGCATGTGCAAGGCTTCTGTATTCTGCCTTGGTGCTTGATCTAGACACTGATGCTTGCTTATTGGAACACCAAGATATCAAATTTTCTCCAAGGAATACACAGTAGCCTGTAGTAGATCTTCTGTCATCAATGTCTGCCCCCCAATCTAAATCTGAGAAGGCTTTAATGCTAAGGTTACTAGACCTTTTAAAGTGCAGGCCACGATCTATAGTCCCTGCCAAATATCTCAGAACTCTTTTTATAGCTTTCTAGTGTGTATCCAAGGGGCAAGACATATATTGACTCACTTTGCTCACTGCATAGCTTATTTCTGGCATAGTTAGAGTGATGTACTGCAAAGTTCCTACCACACTTTTGTACAGTGTGTCATCAACAGTGGGGTTACCATCTTCTTTGGATAGATGAAGGGATGATATCATTGGAGTTGGAAATCCTTTAGCATCATGCATCTTCATCCTCTTCAGCAGCTCTAATATGTATTTCTCTTGACTCAAGTGTACTCCATCAACAATCTTTATTACTTGAACACCAAGAAAATGCTCTACCTCTCCAAGGTCCTTAGTGGAAAACATCTTTCCAAAATTCTTCACAAAATCTTCTATCTCACTGTTATGTGTTCCTGTGACAAGAATGTCATCAACATATATCAGGACAAACAATGAGGCACCTTGGTTGTTTTTGAAAAACAAGGAGTTGTCAGCTCTAGAGTCACTGAACCCCATCAACTTCAAGGCTTCTTTAACCTTGCTAAACTAGGCTCTAGAAGCCTGCTTCAACCCATATAAAGCCTTGGATAATTTGCAGACTAAATGCTCATTTCCCACTTTCTCAAAACCAAGTGGCTGTCTCTTGTAGATGACTTCACTAAGGTCTCCATTGAGGAAGGCATTGCTCACATCCAGCTCCTTATCTTCCATCCTTCTTGTATGGCCAAGCTGAGCATTATCCTTATTGTATTATGCTTCACAACTAGACTAAAGGTCTCTGTGAAGTCAAAGCCTGGCTTTTGTGAGTATCCTTGGGCTACCAGTCTAGCCTTGTGCTTTGATATGCTTCCATCTGCTCTTCTTTGATTTTAAAGACCTACTTACATCCTACAATATTCTTTCCATCAGGAGGGGTAACAAGGCACCAAGTTTTGTTCCTTTGTAAGGCACTTATTTCTTCTTGCATTGCTGCTTTCCACTCTTTTAAAAACAATGCATGGTTTAAGGATGTTGGCTCTCTTTCCTCTTCTTGCACCAGATAGGCCTTTGGTTTGTATATCCCTGCTCTAGCCCTTGTTATCATGTGATGTTTTCTCACTTCCTCATCTCTACTTCTGACTTCTGTGGATTCTGCAATGTGAGGTAATTATACCACTAGAGGAATAACAAGTAGGCTACTAGCTCAGCTAGTGCCTCTTGAAGTGCTTCTGCCTTGGCTTGATATGCTCCCTGGTGTACTTGTGGTTGAGTTGGCATTCTGACTCAAGTCTTCTCTTGACTGCACCTTATCTGAATTACTGTTTTTGATCAAGGTTGGGATCCCAGGAAGATTGCAAGCTTTATCAGTCATGAGTTAATTTTCTTGACTGGCTGCTTTCTCAGCATAAGGGAACTTTGTTTCATCAAAGTGCACATTTCTGGTTACAATTATCTTCATGTTTGGCAATAACACCTTATACCCTTTATACTGATTGTTGTATCCCAGAAACACACCTGCACAAGATCTATACTCCATCTTGTCTTTGTTGTAAGGCCTAATGTAAGGGTAACATAGGCACCGAAACACTTTCAGTCTTCTGTAATCAGGTTTATGGCCATAAAGAACTTCCAAGGGAGATTTGAACTTTAAAGGCCTGTTGGGTATTCTGTTAAGGATGTATGTTGCTGCAACAAAAGCATCTCCCCAATAACATAAAGGCATATGGGAGTGAGCCACGAGAGAGAGTCCCATGTTGACAAGATCCCTATGCTTTCTCTCAGCCAAATCATTTTGCTGAGGTGTGTAGGCACATGAAATCCTATGGAGAATACCACTTTCTTGAAGTAGCTTAGCCAAAGCTTGATATTCTCCTCCCCCATCACTCTGCAGGGCCTTAATCTTTCTATCAAACTGATTTTCAATTATAGCTTTAAAACTAGTAAAGGCATTGATAACATCTGATTTAGCTTTCAACAAGTATATCCAAGCAAATCTTGAAGCTCACATAATATGCATATCCATTCAAGGCTTTAACATGACAAGGCCCCCAAACATCAGTATGAATTAGTTCAAGAGGATAAGAAGACATAAAATCAGAATGATTAAAAGAAAGTGAGTGACTTTTAGCCATCATGCAGGAACTACATAGAGTATCATCATCCTTGGATTTATAATCCAAATTACACAACTTTAAGGCTCTTTTAACATTATCATAATTTTCATGACCAAGTCTTTGGTGCCATAGTTCTAGGCTATTACATTCACCAACTTTTGAAAAATAAGAAAAAGGCTGTAAGCCTAGTACTTGCTGATCTTCTTGAGTAGATTGAGAGGACAAAAACTGAGGCTGCTTGCTCTTCAAACACTGCAAGTTGAAGTGGTATAGTCCATCCTTAAGAACTCCCTTGAGCAGGACCTCTTGAGTTTCCTGGTCCTTTACAAAACAAAAGGTTGGATGAAATTCAAAAAATACTTAATTGTCCCTTGCAAACTGAGACACACTCAGTAGGTTTCTACTGATCTTAGGCACATGCAATAGATTTTTTAGAACATAAACTTTGGAGTGACTGGGATGCTGAATGAGAGAGTTACCAAAGTGTGAGATTGTTGCTACCTCTCCATTTCCCATTAAGAGCTTGTTATTTCCACTGTACTCAGTTGCAATATTGAGATTCTCAAGCTCATTTGTACCATGATTAGAGGCCCCTGAGTCAGGAAACCAGCTGGTTTCCGAGCCAACATCAGAGTAAGTGTTTATGCCATGGATTTGCACCATATTCAGGCTGGGGTTTCTCCTTTGAGGCTGCTGATTTTTTATTTCCACTTTGATTGGCAGGTGGTGTGTCATACCTGTACCAACATTTATCTGTTGTGTGATTCATCCCTTGACATATCTGAAACTGTGGCCTATTTCCTCCATTCCTTCCACGACCTCTACCTCTATAAGAGCCTCTTCCTCCTCTTCCACCTTGGAAATTATTTCTATTGTCCTTAAACTGATTGAAGTTTTGATTGTAGCTCATTTGAGGGTTCTGTGTCACCACATTAGCATAGGGTTGTGATCCCTATGCGCTTACAACTGAGCCTTGATTCATTTCCAGCCTAGACTTATAAGTTAGCAACAATGCATGGACTTCAGCCAAGGTGTGAGGAGGAAACCTTGAAGTGACATTTACCACCATCTGAGTCATACTCAGATCCCAGACCAGTTAAAACATGAAGAATCTGGTTTTGTTCTGACACCCTTTCACCAGCAATAGCTAAGATATCACAATGATTTTTTATTTTGTTGAGGTACTCCCTCATAGATAAGCCAGCCTTTTTCATGGTTTGAAGTTTCACCTTATATTGCATTATTCTAACTGAAGATTGGCTTGCAAAGTTGTTCTCAATGGCTTCCCATATTTCTTGGGCAGTGTTCAAACCAACCATCATCACCAAGATTCCATCACTGAGAGAGAACATAAACCAAGAAGCCAAAAGCTGGTCTTGCCTGACCCAATAAAGATAATCTGGGTTTACCTGGGTTTCATTTGACTGTGGATATGTGATTATCTTCTCTGGTTTTTGAGTTTCTCCATTGATGTACCCTTCAACTCCATAGCATCGAATGGCAGTGATGCCTTGCTGTTTCTAGATGAGGTAATTTGTTTCATCAAGCTTTGTAGAGATTAGCTGACTTTTGGGTTGGATCAAAGATCCCATAGCCGCTGTGCTTGAACCTGGGACCATTGTTGTGGAGCCTGAAGATGTACTCATGGTGACCGTTTTTTTTTTTTTTTGGAGATTTTTTTTAAACAGAAGAATAAAAAGGGTGATAATCAGAGGCAGGATTCAACCCGCTCTGATACCACAATGAAATTTTGAATGTAAAAGCATTATGAAAATCAAGAACAATGAAGAACAAAGTGTGTACTATAGCAGCTGGAATAATTCTCCACATAAAACCTAGAGAATTTACAATGCAAGATCAGAGTACTTATACTAGACATCAAAGGTAAATAAAGGTGTCATCTGTCCACTTAAAGTTATCATCCTACGGTTGCAATACATTTGAACTGGAGTTATTCACACTCCATGCAGATAAGGTTGCATGGCATTTAATGCCTTTGTCTCCATGCAAGGGCTCCTTTTCTTTAGCTGTTGACCAGAGACAGAATGCCACGTTGGTTTCCAAGTCATCTGCCAGCTGATCAGGTTTGCTAACATACAAATCTACAATAGAAAATGATATTAAAATATAGTTAACGTTATTAAAAAGAACAATAAATATCCAGTATATGTATAAATATTCGAAGCCTAGTTACCTTAATAAATTAAAACTCATCCATGTAGGTGTAGCGAACATGTCACTTAAACTCATCACATTCGAAAATTATACGTCTAGAGAAGATAAAGAAACGTTAAACCCAATATTCACAACTTTTTTTTGTCCATTAATCTGAGAACTACATTGTGCTCTAACACCCCTTTTATCTCCAATTTATGGAGAATCATGATCATAATTTTCGTTTCTCAAACTTTTGTCAACTTCCCCTAGAAGATTTCTGCCCAACCTTTCCCCTTGGCAGTTGCTTTTTCCTACCTCACTCCAACAAAAACAACCCATGATGACATTTTAGATTCACTATAAAATCAGCCAACAAAGTCTCTAAGAACCCTACTTCCATAATGCATCTGATGCCCGTTCTCGGCACTTTGCCTGAGGCCTAAAGTCAACGAAACCGGACCCAATCCCGCCATTTCGACTCCATTAGATGGTGGTACAAACCCCATTAACGATCCGTTAATAGCGTCACTATTAGGAACGTGGTAGTAATTCATTCTAGATCGCTTTTCGGTAGGATCCAAACTCGAACAACTGCTCCTTCGGATTGTATTTGAGCACTGACCAGCTGTGTCGTTTGGTTGACCGCAGACAGTGGCTGTTGCAGTTTTATCTTCCGTGCACATGTTCGAATTTCCTTTTGTCTCCAGCATGTGAATCTCCTCCACCATTGGTTTCCACACACGGACTCGGGCATTGATGAACCAGTTTGACACCTGAATTTTGTCATGGCCGAATTTGTTGTTACACATCTCAGATGGCATACAGATAGACCAATTATAATTATATATATAGGAAATGCAGAACGATCTACAAAGTAAAAAATACCGTATAATAGCCTTCGAATCTGTTTATAAGAGATTAACAAAAATTTTGAGAGCCATTTTTGCTAGTCGAAGACGGGATATCACAACCTGAATTTTCATTTTTGATTTTTCTAAAGCGTGAAAAAAGAAAGTATATGTATTTTTCTTAACATCAACAGAGATGAAATCGCTCGCTCTTTTCGGTAGCTACAACCAAAGAGCCAAACAATTCAGACAGAGATAAACACCAGAAATGGAAATGAGTAACACCTGGTTTCTTGTTAGACCAGTTTGTGCAGCCAGCATGTGCTTGTCCGTGTCCGTGGGATACCTACACAAGAAACAGAGCTAAAAAGCTCAAATACTTGTCCAAAAAATTATGTACACATAACCAACATCACAACACACACACGCACACACACACACACAGACAGAGAGAGAGAGAGAGAGAGAGAGAGAGAGATGCTCACGGATGAAGAAAATGATCAAACAGCCACGCACGTAAAATAGAGACAGCCCGTTCGGGAAGGCCTCTTTGTGGCCTCCAAACATGTTGGCCTTGAAGAAGGCCCACATTGTTCTGCTTCTGAAAGCTTTGGTCGAAAAACTTAATCATAGAACTACTAGCACCAACTTTGCCGCTGCTTGTACCGGCCGATGGTGATGATGGAACCTCTCCAATCGCGCCACGAATGTCCTTGAGTTGGTCGGTTATGGAATTCTTTAGACACCGGAAGTTTTTCGACACCATTTTTAAAGCTAAAGAAATGTATGGAGTGGCGGCACTTAGGCCTGCCACGGACTCAAAGGATGAGACCACCATTTGCATCTGCTGTTGATACTGTTTGTACCTTTTGCACACCTGTTTTTTATAAGAAACCCGAGCGTGTTTGTTACAATTATATATTTTTTATTTAGTCTACAATATGTAAGGACATATACAGATAAAACAATGCTTATAAATACGAGAGGTTTTAGTCCATCAAGCAACAAAGGTAACAAAGGTTGCGGGTTGTATTTTGTATAGAACTAAGGGAGAGAAGTTACGTATGTTTTTTTGACAAGTCCCGTACACTTGATTCTTACCAACAAGGTATCTTATCAACACTACTGTATTTAAGCTTGTACTATCTTGTTTTGCGTAAGTTGGTACTTTCTTGAATCATAAACTGTCCCGGTATGCATGTGATTTACATAAAGAAGAAAAGAAGAACACTAACATGTCCCACAATACTCTAAAAGCTACAATTTATATAAAGGCACATCACAATCACAAGCTTGGGGCAAGTTATGGCCCGCATATTGTCCATCCAGGTATATCTTTCGGTCTAAAAGTAAATGACAGAACTTGTTAAATAATGAGTTGTGGGGCGAAGAAGAATGAGAACAACAGGTCTAAAAGCATCTACATTATTATGAGAAGCTGATCAACTTACTAAATTGATTGATCAAGGTCTCAATTTCCAGATGATTGTATATGAAACTACTACACATCGGTTGCATAGACCTTAATGATGATTGTATTAAGTAAAGAAAAAATATATATATATTCAAGAGTTGGCCTTAAACTTCAAAGGAAAAGATACAGTGCCTCGTCAAGAAACTGATTGTCCACAAATGCGGTGTACTTTATGTTCCGTTATATATTAGACGAATTGCAAATTGTACAGTAATGTTATAATTACAACCGGCACTCATCTAATATAGTGAAACATGAAGTGGAAGCACAATAATGTAGACGAGTTTGGGGCATGCTAGCCATTTGCTGGAGAATAGAAGTGAAAACGAATTGTATTAATATAACGGTTTAATTCAAATTTGATCCTCGACATGTAGAAAATGACATGATTGGCCCACAAATACTAGATGTCAAAATTCTAGTTCAGTATGCAGAATTAAGCACAAGTTGGGATCCAAAAATATGAAGTGGCATAACTGGTCAAGTAATCAAGGTAAGAAAGAACACTACAACAAATGTTGGGCAATATTTGGAGTAGTCATAGAAACTTCAATGTTGTGCTCTTTGTGATTGTAATGAATAAGAACTCGTGGGACCGATATTAAGCAGGAATAGCATGAGAGCTTTTCAAACCAATGCTCATCCATAAACACCACAGAATCCATCAATAAGTCAGTCAGTCGGTCAGTCACTCGACACCAAACAAAAGACACATAACTACAATTTTAATATTACTGTCCATGCCGTAAAATCATTAATTCTAATAACTTATATGTTTTCATTTTTTTCACATGAAATAAGCCGGTGTGAAGAATGGAAGATCGTTTCAATTCACAAGAACATACTCGTCACCCAACAACAAAGTTCATCGCCAAATCCGTAACACATAACATAACAACCGAAATCCGAAGACAAAAAAAAAAAAGAAAAAAAAGATGCTGACCTCATCCTGCATACACAATAGCTTTGCCTTCTTCTGAAAATTGTTGGGCAGGCAAGAGTACGTCCATCCACCGGCACCCTCACCCTCCCGGATCTTTTCATTAGATCCGTTAGACCCAAATAACGAGCCAGCAGCTATTGGGTTTGATCCGAGTTGAGCATCATCTTCAACAGAAACCCTATCTTGCTCTAAAATCTTACCTAGCCCCTCACACGTTTGAGTATCGACAGGCCGGGCCATGCAACAGAGCTCTTCCAACAACACCTGCGCGGGCCTCAGGAACCTCGAAGTCCTCAGAATCGTGGCGTAGCCCGTGAAAGGCCCAAGCGGGCCAGGGCACCGATTGTGTGCCGAAGCAGCCTGAGCCCCTTGACGAGAAACTTTATCATTGGCCAAAAAAGTGAAATCTCCTTGGGCAAACTGAGCAGACGGGAGGGACGAGAGCGAGAGAGCAAGTCCCCGATGAGTGTAGTGAACACCATCTGCGAAATGACGGATCAAGTTATCCTGGCTCGAAAGAAGACCGCCGTCCACTGACCAAGTCCCTTCGGGGCTACTGGACTGCAAATGATCACAACTGGAGACCAGCTCCTGCAGTGGATTCTGATTAAATGAAGGATTCACAAGGCCACAATTAGGGGACTGCTGATCCAGATTGCAAGGATGAAAATCGCCGGGAAGGCCCACCCCGGGAACGGTATTCGGACCCTGACCCCAACAACTGTCGGTGGCGGAGTGTGAGCCAAAGTAAGGCTGCTTGTCCGAAACCTGATTGAAGCTAACTGTGGGGACTTGTCTACACAAATCGTTGTTGTTGTTATTATTATTTTCATTGTCAAGTAGTTCTTGTTCATCATGTGCAGCCAAACAGTCCCTCCGTTGGTAAATTAGAACATCCTCCTGCTGGGATGAGAATGGGAGTTGATTTGCACTGTAATAAGCTTGCTGGTGAAGGATTCTCAGCCTATCACGCCGCCTTTGCTGGGCCACGTGGATCGAGTCGTTGGCCTCCATCGTCGTCACGGATAAAAAAAGTATCACGATTTTGAACTAACTATGTTGAACCACATCAATTCACTGAAATAGAAACACAAGAACAGAAATAATTAGTTCAAATTTTTGCATGCAAACACCACCACAAAATCATTTTTGAAAACAAATTAATTTATACGTGTTCACGTAGACAAAAGACTATGAAGAGTAGATAATCCCATGTGATAAGGCCATAGTACTACAAACAATTAACAGTGGATAGATTTTATATTCACTGTTCAAAAACACTACAGTGCTGAATAATAAAGATTCGTAGCTAGCGTACGGAGAAAGCCATGTCTACTAAATACATCTCTAAAGAACAAAAAAACCCTAGAAGAATTACAGGCCTACCTAGTTTTTGATATTCTTCTGAAAGATCTAAACAACTGTTGCACTAAAATTCCGGATCTCCAATTTCAAAGACTCCAAAAAAATAAAAAATAAAAAAAAGCTCGTAAAATTAAACTCTCGCTTTCCAGCTCATTCCGAATACTGAATTAATTGAAGGGAAGGAGAACAAAAAAAA